ATATTAACTAAACTGTTTGTCTGAATCGGTAAACATTATCGATAACAGCAGTTAATGTTTAGGTTGATTATATTCTTTAATCAATGGATGCGATTGAGCGCCAACTTGACCGCGCATGCAGCAAAAATGTCGTCGTGGTTCACAATTATAGTTTTTGTCCCCAGCTTCATTTAACTGTTAAATCTAGTTTGAAATATAAATTGCTGTAAAATATCACCAAAGGTTCGATTTCTAATCTACACTATTTTGGGGAAATGTTAAAGCGGTGTTTAATATGGAAATGCAGCTGCAGTTTTAGATATTTTTCTTCATGGAAGAATTAACATGGATACCGAGTATTTCTCTGGCAATGGGATGTACAACCTTTCCAAATGAGGTGGGAAAATGCAGTCTGGCGCTGCAGGTGGTTCAGTCAATATGTAAACAAATCGCTATCACGAACCTCCAGAGGTTCTTTACTTTGCTATTGTCCGAACACCTACTTTCGTTGACATTTAAATTCGTCGACTCCTATGTTTTTTTCAAGTGACGTTTTTAATAAGTCATATAACGTACGCGACGTCAAGTATACGTGATCGCAGTTGACATTTTTCTGTTGGCCTTTTTGTACTGCAATTTTAATAGCTACACATTTGGGGAATACAAATGGAACCTAAAATTGACCTTATCATCATTTCTAAGTTTGTTTATCAATATCCCTGTGAACCAAATCACGTGGGTATTTCTCATTCTATGACTGAATGTTCCACAGAAAGTTCAACTACGAAATCCGACATTGAACTTGATGTTAAATCATCGATTTATTAAAAAAAAATGCAGCACTTGGGATCGATGGCGTATCTGGCGGGGTAGGTGAGGGGTAGGTGGAAACTTCCCCCGGCGACATTTTGCTATTTTTTTCAGGAAACGAAAGCGACCGTAACTGACACACGTCAGCCGCAACATTAATAACGTGACTATTGTGTAATCGTGTCCAAAATCATGCACTTTAAACAGCGTCCCATAATTATGGTGTCCACCCCCCCCCCCACCCCGCCCCTAAGTTTTTGTGGCAGCCGGGTGACCAAAAAGAACATTCCCTAGCTGCCTTACCCAGCACGGCACACTGGGTTACAACACAAAATACAGATAGTTTAACAATATACATCAGGCACGGATTTAAAATAAGAATAGGCCTAGATAATTATGATGCGGAGAGGACAGTCCAGTCCAAAACCCGGATAAAAACAATCACAATATTATTTAATGCAATGAGCAAAATAAAGAAGCAATACTATTTACAATTAAAAATGGAAACAGCTTAAAAAAACAATAAAAAAAACCCAGGTGATTCAAAGGGATATAGGTTGCATGCCAATCAACCGGCACATATTATATGCTCCGTGTATTACAGGGACCAGCAAATGCAAACCTTCAAAATCACCTGTGTGTCGGATTTAATTTTTGTTTTCAATTTATTTTTCAAATTGCTTTTCTTTTCAAGGGTGTTTTGATGCCTTTTTATTTGTATGCTATTAAAATCCATTTTCCGTGTTACAACTATGTCTCAGTGCATGACAGTAAGTCAGTCATTTCCGGGTTCACAATTTGAACAGATGTCAGTTGTCAGGAAAAGCTTAACAAATATTCAAGTTAACCAAAAAAAGGATATCTCATAATTTGCATACATTTCAGACGAATGCAAATTTGCACAAAATACAGGTGTGTATAGTTCATGTCATGGCCCCTGTAAGAATAGGCGGTGACAAGCGGATTAGAAATAGAAACAATGCTACAAATGGTTCAGAAATAATGATCATGATTCATCGGATTTGAAGGCCACGCTATGCGTGTTTTGTCGGCGATGACGAAATAGTAAGAACAAAATCATTAAAAGGTGGAGTGAAAGTGAACACAAAAGGCCTTGCGAATTGGCGGTTTTCGTGTTCTAATCGCGTTTCTTTTTGCAAACCTTGCTGCAAACACAATGTGCCCTCATTATTGTTGTAGGACCTGGTTTCCTTCAGTGAATTGTCACGTACACAGTATGAGCTTTATGGCTCATAATTCGTAGGTTTTACTCAGTATTGGAAATATGCACAGACATGGCTGTCGCGTCAGATGTAAACAGGGTTTTCGACATGAAATCAGTGGATTTCACGTGACCCAGACCTTTAAAATATGGTTCGCGCGTGAACAATCTGAAACACTATAATTTGGTGATCGCCGGACTTTTCAAATGCTGAACTGCTCTGTAAGTCCGAATGCTCTCTATGCCGTTGTGCATTGTGGTGATCGGGACAAGACGTTAACCATGGCCCTCAATCGATGTGATGGAATGTCCATAGCAAATAGGCTGTTTAGACAGGTTTTTATTTCATCGAACATCAACCCCAATTTTTTTTTTGATGAACATATTTTTAATCGTCAGTATGATCGTTGTAGGCTTACACCATACGATATAGGAAAACAGCACAATTTCTTGGTGGTCTTTTGGCCATTCCGTATATGAATAACCAGCAAAAATACATATACATGTACCAGAAAACTGCGATTTACAATATGGACAACAGATGTGCGTCTGTGTGTGTTGTGGTGTAAAGCCTGCGAAAAATTTGTAGTCACTTTCAATACGTGCTTTTATTGATTATACCTTTTTATTTCTCCAACAAAACCAAAAAGTAGTACAATGGTTCCCAAATAGATTGTATTAGGAAATAATTTCAGACATTTGGAAAAAATAATAAGTGTATATAAAGTATAAATTCTTTGCAGTCCTTTGAGATGTTAGTAAACCAATCTACAATATTGTAACTATAAGTTTACTACTGCCCATTGTATTTTACTCACAAAATTAATTTGTTGCATTATGCAAACTTCCACTGAAAATGGTTTTCCTTTAAAGTCCTATAAGATTGGAATGGATACTTTATTGCGTCTAAAACTTGTGTTAAATACCTTGAAATGGGTGAATCTTGACTACAGTTTCCATAGTGACATGAAAATCTTTTCAGACCCAGAAAATTAATGTGCATGTATATGTGTATCACTGTTTTGATTAGTAAAGAGCATCAATACTAACTACGCAGCTAAGTGAATACCTATACCTACCGGTATCCAATTCAAGAGCTACATTTTAGTGTGAATCATCAATGAATTATTCCAATCTCGATCCTTACCCTATCGTATTCCTTTCTTGTGAAAAAGGAACTTTATGGAAATCCAGACAAAAGTACAAAAATACCCAAGTATAAAAGTAAATAATCATTGATACAAAATCAGCCTTGATTTAACCATCTAACCAAATCGCCATTCTAGCTCTCCTTCAACTGCTTCTACTCTGACTCTCCTAACAGCTACTCAAGTGTTTAGTTTGTACAGTGGTTTGCATAATACTGTGTCCGACTTTCAAACTATTCCCGTACAGTGACTTTTATGGATAGACTGGAAGTACACAGTGACTACATAGGCAGCACTGATGCATTATGCAACTTCAGGTGCATTTTTCAGTCCTTAAAAAGGTTCCATAACGGTGTCAAATAATATGTACAATTTAAATGTCGAGAGTTGTTCAAACAGTGAGAGAGTTCAGCTCAGACGAGAACTTGAAGAGTCGCACGTTCATGTAGGAACTGTGGACCTACTTGCATTACAATGACCTAAGAGCCATTTCAACTAAATGTTTGGCATACAGGGCGAGTCAAAATAAAGGAAACCCAAATGACATGACCGATTTTTTAATGATATTCTGCACGTAGCACTTTCAAAATCAGGATATGAAAGCCCAATAATAAGGTTTTTTTAGTACAAGAATCATTCAAATCACTAATGTACTTTTCAAATTACGGGATTTTAAACACAAACACCGTTTTAGGGTTCTGTCCACGGATAAAAAAAAAAGGTAAGTGTTCTTTCAGCAAAACGAAAACAATTCACATAGGGATGTATGTGAATTGTAATGGTCTTTTGTTTGACTCACCCTGTATGTGTCCAGGGTCAAAATTTGACAAGTGTTGCCTTTTACATTCCATATACAGGGTGCCCCCCCCCCCCCAACAAAAAAGGTTACCCACAAACAAAGGATAATTTGACCAAGCTATGATATTAATGGCCATTTTTATGGTTTTATCATAAAGTAGGGGCGGTAAGCTTATCCTTGACTGCATTCCTCCCGTCATGCATCACTAAGCTTCATTGTCTTGAAAAAAACGGTATAATTGTACACCTTCTTTGGACAGTTTGGGGTAAAACTTTGAGCACATCCATAGTTCAAGGGACTTTTAACTTAAGAAAACATGAACAAAACAGGATTTATGAAACTCCGGCTAAATTGATGTCCTGCTGTCAAAAACAAATTGGATATATTTCTGTATAATCAAAAATAGTTGCAATGGTGCAATTTGGTTTTGACGTTAGCGTAAAAATTGTTCCAGACCGGAAGCCAAACCAGAGATAAAACCGAATGTTCACTTCTTGTTAACTGTTAGATCTTTGGTAGAAAAGTCCAGCAGAAGCTGTCTATTAGGTACCATGCAGCATATTTTAAGTCTTTGGATCTTCAAAAAAACTGGTGCTTTGTGTTCTTCCATTCTGTAATTTATTAGATGGTTTTCAAATATCAGTGACTCGAATTGACTAAAGCATACATTTGACTCGACTCGACTCGACTGACTTGACCACACACTGTGACTCAACTCACCTTCTTGACCTAATGACCCGACTCAACTGGAGTAACTTCCTTAAAATGACTCGACTCACTCAAGTCACAAAATTCAGTGACTCGTTACAACTCTGGCATGACCACAGAAATGCATCCAAGATAACAATGGGAAGATGACTACCCCTAATTTATGATAAAACCATAATAATGGTCAGTTACCTTTCTGGGACACCCTGTATAGTCCATGCCATAGTGACGGACCATTTTTGTTTGTGTGGCCCTTTAAAAATACAGGGGAAAAAAATTAATTTCCCAAACCGGAGAAAACAAAATAAAACTAATTGTAACTTTTTTTGGCAAGTTTAATTTTTGAAGGCCGTTATAGACCTTAAACTCTCATTTTTTTTCAAGTAAGATTCGAGGCTTTGCATGGTGGAGATACTAATGAATGAAAGGTTTGCGGAAACACCATGTGGGAATATTAACTCTGAGGTGGATTTCAGTCAAGATTTAACGATACCATCTGAATCCGAAAGAATACAATCAATACTAATTAGGGAAGGTACAGTGATCAAAAATGCAACATTAACACAATGTAAAGTAAAAATGTAAAAAAATCTTAAATAGAACTAGCTTTCAAGATTTTTAGGAATGACTTTTTTCAAATTTTCAAAAACTTTCAAAAGCATGTAAAAAAATATAATTATAGAACAAAGTCAAGGCGAGTTCAGACTTTGCACGAAAGTGAATGTGAATGCCAGTTTTGAACACACTGCGGCAGATTTTGCTGAAAAAGTGTTAACTGTTGTTGATGCTACACAGTGAAATAATCAGTCTCATTTCCATTGCTCTGTAAGAAAGGACAAATAAAATGCACAATGTTATCATTATGCCAGATAAAGTCACTTAACAATACTTGGTCATAAACTAAAGCTGACCTGGATGCAGATAATGGCGTCCAGGCCCCTAACTGGTTTTAAACGTACTTGTTTAAAACCGGCCAAGCACATATTTATTTCATTTATTTCATATTCACGAACAATAGACCCTGCCAAACTATTTTACGGGATAAACCACAACAATTGATGTTTGAAATCATATTGGTTTCTCCAGCCAAATTCAGCAAAACTCTGTTCATTTTCATTAACATGCTTTTTATAATTAATAATCAAACCAGGATTTTGTTTTGTTTGTTAATATTACATTCAATTACGTTGAATTGCACATATTATTTTGCTTTAATCAATTTTTTTTCATTTACAGGTTATCAATGCTACATTATCATCATCACTGAGTTGAATTTCTACCACCTATTTTCAATTGGTGCAATCATATGAAGAATTATGATTTTGATATTTTTTTTCCAACTTTCAGATCTACATGTTCACACCGTCACCTTTTTTTCCCTTTACTTTATCAGAATTGAGAATGTATGGTTCAAGAACCAGTTTCGTCTTTGCAGGGCGGATATGTTTGTGCGCAAATCAATCCAAGATTAGGCCAAAAAAAAAAAGTCTCCGGTTTCTGGTATGTGGGCGCGTCGCCGTAGCCATGCGCGTCGGCAAAATGAAAAAGTTTTTTTTTTCATTGTAAGATGATGTCTCAAAACCGCCAAACTCACTGGTTTGACTGGATTCCTGCTGTTGCACAATTTTAACGTGTTTTTAGATAGGGTAATGGTCGAGAATAAGCTTTATGTGGCCTCTCTGGACTCCCATATATTTGCACTAAGTTTAGTCGGGCACCATTTGCAGTCATCAGCCGACATTTGAAGCAAAAAAATCAGGTAAAAAAAAAGAAGCCGCGTCGCCGCACAACTTTTTGGGCAAGCTCCATACCAGAAACCGGAGACTTTTTTTTTTGGCCTTAAAGCCTCTTTTTTAAAGGGCTGCAGATATCCAAAATAGAAAAACAATTTTTATTTTTGATAGAATAAAACATTCAAGTAGAAACTTCATCAGGAGAAAACTCGATTGATTTTTTATGCGCAAGGATAGTACATAATAGTTGCTCTTGGTATTTATGAATATTTATGAATATTTATGAATTATGAATTGTAAAGGATCTACCTTCTAGTTAAATTTTACAAAGAGTTACAGATTATACCTATTTAATTTACAAGGCATTACTTGATCAAATCCCAGAGAGTTTAATTTAAACATTTTAATGATCGGCAACCATCTATTAAGTCAAACAGACACAATTAATGTAGTTGAACAAATGATTGTGTCTGATGTTTTGAATATGCCTGTCGCCCTGTTGGACCAACATCAAATTGCCATGCCTCTTCTGTAAGGTGTGTTGCATGAACATTTTGCTGCTTACGAAATTAAAACGTGGTTTCCAATTAATTCCCCCCCCCCCCCCACAGAAATGTGGTTGGGGTCTACGAACAAATACTTACCTGTAGAGCAATACTACTTATGCATATTCCCCCTACCGGCAGGTATTTTCCGCTAAGAGTTATATACAATAGCGCCCTCTGGTGCCCTACCCATAATATCCCGCGGCATGCGTGCCTCGTGAGCGTCCTCTTTTCTCGAGCGCTAAGTCGGAATACAGAATGTACTCAAGGCATCGAGAAGAGTGGGGTAGGGGGGAGGGATGCTCTACAGGTAAGTATTCGTTCGTAGACCCCAACCACACTTCTGTGGGGGGGGGGGGGGGAGTCTACTTCACTCTACTTACCTGTAGAGCAATACTACTTATGCATAGACTAGCACCGTCAAGGCGGTGGGTCATGCGAGATGCTATTGGGCTTTCACAGGGGCACGTAACAATACGCGTAAACCCTGGATGGGCCCGTCGCTCCACATGTGGGTGGACAAGGCAGCCCAAAAAGGTCGGCATGTTAAAGACATTAGTCATAATGGTAGCCTCAACATGCCAACAGAGATGTGATCCCCGATTTTGGGAATCACACGTCATGAATTACAGCCCACCGATACCTACACATAAGAGTTCGGTGGGGCACAAAAAAAAAATTATCATGAAAGGCAAAACATCACGACATGGTACATATAGACACTATAATATGCACATGTACATGTACAGAGCTCAATAAAGAATCAGAGTTAGGAGACACCAATGCTGGGGAGGTCTCCGGTCTGAAAATGTCTTGAGAACATGGTGGGGCTCAGTCAGTCGCCCTCAACACTGCTCTCCCATGCTCTGCCTTTTATTTTGCGCCTGCGGACCGATCACACGGATTCTGCCGTTGATACGTCCGTGGTTTCATGGATGACCGTAGCCAACCTTCAGGCAATCTTGTCATGAGAGCCTGCAGGTATGGTGGGGTCACCATGATAAATACATGTCATGAAAGGCCTGCCTGTATGGCAGGGTCGTCATGACAAAAACGTGTCGCGAGAAGCCTGTCGGTATGGCAGGGTTGTCGTGACAAATACATTTGTAACTGCAAGTGACCGATTCAAAGCGTCCCAGTGCAGCTAATGTACGACGTTAAAGTCATGATTGGCACCAAAAATTCTCCGTCTGGACAAGAATGATTTGATGCCCGTAACAAAGACGTCCGGAGGCCCAGAGGGCTCTGACAGTCCTTAGTATAAATCCCTCCTTAGGGAGCAGACATCAAGTAATGATCAGCACCAAAATTCGCTGTCTTGAAACGGACAAGAATCATTTGATGCCCAGAACAAAGACATCCAGAGGCAAAGAGGACTCCGACCGTCTTAGTTCAAAAAACCTTCCTTAGGGATCAGACGCCAAAGTCATGAGCGGCACCAACATTTTCCGTCTGGAATGGACAATGATTTGATGCCTAGAACAAAGATGTCCGGAGGTAAAGAGGACTCCGACAGTCTTTTAGTTAAAAAACAAAAATCCTCCCATAGGAATCGGATGGGCACACTCGGTTCCCATCAGATGTGGTCCGTCTCTATTATAAAGAAAACAGTTCTTTACTACATGTACTGCTTACAAAAAAGGCAACCGTAGGGACCAATGAAACAGATGTGAAATTGTTCACTGGTTCACAGAACTCTAAAGATCTCTATAACACTTTTGGATAAGAAGGTGTTGAAGAGGTCCTGCAATTCAGGGGTGTTAAAATATCCCCTTAAGTTAACTGACATGGAGGTTCAACTGACTAACATTAAGGAATCTACTGTCGTGTTAGAAGTCCCTCAAGTGCAGGCTGTAAAAGCCGTAGCTTGTTTGAGAAAGGTCTGATGTGTACAGGAGAGCATTACAGCATCCAGTACATCAGAAGAAATTCCTGCGGAGTTGGGTGAAGGAAACCCAAGCTGTGCTGGAACAGAATATTGTTCTGCTCGGAAGAACATTTGTACCTCCAACTGGTGAGCCAAGGGAATGGCTATAGCCCTGGAAAACCAATCAATGGGGTCAACATGGAGTTAAGAAGAGGACCTTGTCATCCTTCTGCTCCAGTTGATTAAGTACCCAAGGGACAAGAGGAAGACGACAGGAAGGTGTATACAAGTAGCCTGTCCGTCTTCATCACCATCGTATTCGTGTGCCATGTGCAGGGGTCAGGAACCCTCAGGCATTAGCCTGGAAATCTGTGACTAGTTCATGAAACAAGTCAGATTGACATGTGGTTAGTTGTCCTTGCTTTGGAGGACCGTCGAAAGCAAGAAGCTATGAGGAAAACCCCAATGGGGTATTTCTCAAGTGAGTGTACACAGTTGTGCAGGCTGCCTGCCCACCTGGTCGTCGGAGTAAACCACAACCGTGTCAAAGTCACATCGAACCAGGATCATCTGGCACAACACCGAATATAGAAGTAACATCGCAGTTTATCCAAGACTGCCAGCATCTCAAGTATGTTAATGGAACTTGAATGATGCTCACACAAGGCCTCACCAATCCGCCACTAGATGCGGGTGGTGGGCAGTTAATTGGCAGGGTAACATGTCCGCCATGACAGTTAATGAAGGCTGCAATCTGTGAGAGGCCCACCCTTGTGAGGTTGGCAACGTCGAACCACAGGAGGTGCTGCACAAGTCAGGTTATGGCCTGCACTGAATGCAGTGAGGACTGGGCCGATACAAGCAAATAGGTGAATGCCACCAATCTTTGTTTCCACAGCGCAGTCATATCGCCTTTACTATCTCAGCAGAGGCCAGGAGTGAGGCGGAAAAAAGGCTGGAGGAAGCCACCATGAAGTTGCAGCGAGAATCTTTGTTTGAAAACCGCGAAATTCTCAGTGCTCTGGCCTGAAAATGAGTTGCAGTTGTGTACCCTTCAGGCCAGGGCTCGTTCCCCATGCTGATGTGTTAGACAGTCGACTATATCTCATCAATATCTTCCCAAGGGAAATACAAGACGGGCGCAACACTGTGCTGGCCCGATGGTATTGATGTCAGCCTCAAAGTCTCTCTGACGAGCTCCTACGAGTCAGGTAGGTCACTTATGGAAGTCATCAAACAAATGAAGCCGAATCGAAATCGTTGTTACCAGTGAAGGCCTTATCCTCTGTGGCATGGCGTACAGAAAATGTTGCTAGCACGGCCACACAAAATCATCTGGGCAAACTTCAAGAGGTATGCAGTTGAGAAAACAAGCAAAACTGTTTGTTCTTCACCTGAGCTGGCCTGACCGTGGGGTTGATGGCTATCTGAGATTGACCAACTGAGTACATGTAGTCGACATCGACCAATATGGATGTAAACATCGATATCCACCGCAAAAGAAAAGATCTTTGTCCGTTAAAAACTTAAAAGGTGGGACTCGAATCTTTGGCGGGCGCCCTTTGACAGGAGAAACAGTCCATCAAGCATGTTACCCCAGCGGGCCAAGATTGCTAGGGTCTGCACTCGTGTAAAATTATCGAGTACTGAGTGCAGACCGTGAAATTGACAGTGAAAATAGCGGTCACTACGTCCGCTAAGACTGTCGAGTCAAGATTAAAACATTAAACCTAATGTACTTCATGAGGATAAAGAGGGAGGCTGAACGCGTATCGCCGAGCCCACTTTAATTCTACTGCAAAGTGTATTCAAGCTTCTGCAAGTATTATTTACGAGGAGCCGCTTGAATAATGGGGTCCCTCTACTGCTGGTAGCTTGTGCTTAGCTGCATTGAAGAGGGAAGATGTGACAAAAAAATACAGAATTTCGCTAACGGAAAACGGTAATGATCACATTATTACTTGAAGAGCAGCAGGCAGTTTGAATACAGGCACAATCTTTCGAATGTGGTCCACAACATGCCTGAACTATGGAAGTATCAAAACAGTCGCTTCATTGTGAAGAGCAGCAGTCATCTGATGAACCATCCTTATGCAAGAGTCGAATAGACCCCGTAAACGAGAACCGTAAAACATATCTGGAGGGACGAGTTGCACACGGCCACAGTCAGTTGTTGAACAACTCCCTCGGAGACAATGGACAGTGTACATACACAAGTAATGCACACATGTACAATGTACACGTACATGAAAAATGTAGCGATCTCAGTACAGCAAGAAACACCGCCGCACTGCTAAGCACTGCGCGGCGTGTCCCATTGTCCTTGAGTCACCCAACCGTGATTAATGTAGAGGTGCTACAGAGTTCACGGCTCGCAACTGAACTCAGACGGACGTTTCATTAACGTGCCCGCCAGGCAATACATGTACATGTACCTGTGTAAATGTATATGACCGATAATGAAGCCGAGAACAATTGCAAGGCTTGTAATGAGTGGGCCGAAAAACCGAGTCCTCATCCTGGTAGCGTTTGCCGTGGTGGGATCGGTGCAATAAATTCGCCCGGATTAGAAAAATAATGAAGCCGTTCCCGCCTGAGAAATGGACACCATTTTGTCCGTTGTCGATGTGTTTCACACTTGATCCAACGGAGGTATGGGGAACACCTTGTCATTTTTAGATGCAGCGCCCGTCCAGCGCTTGATTTGAAAAATTTGTGATCGGGCGGAGGGGGCTCATCGGCGGAGGGTAATTTAAGTACCCGTGTAATGTCCCTCTGCGGCAAACGGAGCGGAGGGGGCTCATCGGTGGAGGGTAATTTAAGTACCCGTGTAATGTCCCTCTGCGGCAAACGGAGTTTCATTTCTGCGATGGACAGCCGTTGTAACCGGTCTGATTCTTCGTCATCATCGGATGAATCAGCCTGAAGTCAGAAGACACCTGGGGCACCGGGAACCCCGAGCAACGGACAAAACCCGTTGACGGGAGTGGTCCCCCAGAGCGAGATAGAACAGGGGCCGTCGGTCCAGGATCCCCCCGGGCTCCACATCGCTCATAACGTACCCGGCCGCCAGTACCTCAGGCCCCGTGGGCCCACGGGGGCTGAGCGAGAGCTGGACGGTCCAGTAGCCCGTGCAATAGCCCATCCCGGCAACCAGTGGTACTCGGCACTGTGTCGGGAGGGCATGGGTGACTAGAGGCCACTGAGGCGTGGCGGTTAGTCCCCTCGGGCTGCCCCGTGAATGGGGGAGGGCCAGGCGATACAGCCGTGCTCGTACCTGAGTCACGCTTGCCCTGACGGCCCTTTTTAGGCTTTACTCCGGCACAGGAGATATGTTTTGGAGGAACCTTGCCGGAGCGTGCCCTTTGTTTGAGTGTTCCGCTTGAATTGACCAGAGAAGGAGACTGAGGCCCCATTAACTGGTCAGCGGAACTGCCAAGGCCCCCAGCCGGCAGTGGCTGAGGGTGCCGGACAAGGGACTGCTGCCGCGGTAACGACGTAGCGTTAACGGCAGAGTCCCCCGAGAACTCGGGTCGTCCCGTGGGAGTGGAATTCCCCCCGGTTTGTGACAGATCGGTTCTCCCCAAACGCTTCATAATAATCAAATAAATACAACCAAGAAGATGACGAGAAACTCTACAAACTGTTGTTTTATTAACTCTTTTATTATAAACTTCTCTTAAGCGAAAAAGGGTAGTAAATTGACGAGGAAAACAGGAGCTATTTTACACACGTCCTACCCGACATGCCGCTAAGAGAAAAGAGGACGCTCACGAGGCACGCATGCCGCGGGGTATTATGGGTAGGGTGCCAGAGGGCGCTATTGTATATAACTCTTAGCGGAAAATACCTGCCGGTAGGGGGAATATGCATAAGTAGTATTGCTCTACAGGTAAGTAGAGTGAAGTAGACACATCTGTTTCAGTTTGGCGTTCCAAAGTCGCACAGAACTAACAAATTCCAAATATTTGAATTAAGTACATAAAAGATCAAAGTTTGAAAAGGTTTGGAACCACTATGCCGAAAGTCTAGAAAAAGTAACACATAAAGTTCATCTGTCTGAAACCTAAATCCATTTGGGTCTACCCGAGTTGCTCCTATAACATTTTGGTTTAATGCGACTCAACGCCAGCTGGAAAGGGTGTATTCATGTCCCATTGTTGATGTTTAGGCCCGTTTCTAATCAGGAGCGGGTCTGACAGTTAAAATGTTTCCAAGAACGTAGAAAGCTCGCAGTACATTTTCAATGCACCTCCCTTGACTTCTATAGGAACTTTCAAAAATTAGCAGCAAAGATGTTTATCCGAGCTTTAATTTTCTTTATCAATTTTTCATTGAAACAAAAAAGATGAATTTCTGTTTGAAAGCCACCCATTATTCAGCCTCAAACAATCATTGGCTAATGGCAATACTTTATAGTGACTCAATTCACCCAATTTTCACAGAGAAATGCTACTGCCAATAAGACTGGTGATCATCTGAAACCAAAATGGACAGACAGACAGATGACTAGCTGAACAAAATCCAATCTAAACCAATCTGCTTGCAGTTTGCCCTATACTTGATCTGCTTGATTACACATATTACTTCAATTTCTTACCTTTTCTTTTTCCCGGGACACTAGTGAATCGCATTTTCCAGGACCATTTCAAGAAACTGTTGAAAGCAAGGATAAGAAAACCAAATCAAATAAATCATAAACACATTCCTGACAAAGAATCACTTTTAAACTTCATAAAATAATTCAGGGATTTTCAAACAAAAAAATTAACACTTCCCTTCACTGCATCTGGGGGCGCCCAATATATCTTTCAAGACATTTTTGTAACTATTTGTTTTCACAGTGACACCACGACATAATCAAATGGCTTCAAACCATCACTCTTCAGAAATCAGTATCTTGGCAAATTGAAAACATGCTGGGGTCTAGAGCCTTTTTATTTCATGCAATGGACCATTAACATCTTGAGCATTACACAAGTACAGTACCTGCTGAAAAAAGGACAGTCAGAGTCTGGTGGGTTCAAATCCCACTACAGTCGATTTCTCTGTTTAACCTTAATAATACTGATTAAAAAAACCAAGGCAGTCTTCTTTTGTGGTCTAATTGATTTTGAAAAAAGTCATGAATGATCTGGGCTCTATGATGTGTGCATTTTTTACTGCTGCACTTTAAACAAGTTTCTTTGTTTTGAGAAAATGTGTCTTCATTAATTGTGCTGTATTTTGCTGCAATAATCAACTTCAGCAATACAATGAGTGAGTAGTTACTCTGACTACTGATATCATGAATGCTCAGTTTAATGATGCTTATTATAAATGTATCATTAGAGTCACAAACTGCAAAACCTACATCTTCATAGCAAATTCTAACAATTCCTCTTGCAGCAGCATCTTTCTTTTTGAAGGCCTCAGTCAATGAACGAATCATGACACAGCACTGAATAAAGTCATCCAGCTTCATTGTTCTCATATCTGAGCGGTCAAATTTCTGCACAAGCACAGAACAGAAGCCAGGGGTCCTATGGCAACACAAGAAGCAACAAAAGTTCACAATATAAAGATCAAAACAGAATATACAATCGTTTTAATTGGTTGCCGAGTGCCAAAGTATATTTGAACAGCAAAAAGAGTTTCAATATCATATACACAGACTCATCAAAGACAATCCAGCTTTATATATATCTCGTCAATACTCTTTTCACAAAGAGATGTGAATGTCATATTTGAAGCAAAATAAGTTCATAAGAAAATCACAAGAGAAGTTTCTTTCATCTTAAAACTGTGAAAACTACATCATTGCAATTAGTTTATGCAGTAAAAACCAATCATATTATTCTGTGAAAGGTACATGTAAACTTTTATGTGATCCCAGTAATAATCATTTACATGGTGGTACATGTAATTAGCATAAATAAGTAAAGATGTCTGTCCCTTGTCAAACGAACATCCAAGTTTACCAACTTTAATGCCAACTTTAATGCGTATGATGTTTTGAACACCCGAGGTCGCCTTGGGTGTTCAAAACGTCATATCCCACTTCACAGCAGTCAAAAATTGTTAATTATTTAATCATTGGAAGTGTGAACTCCTACTTACACATTGTAGCCAAATGACTTGAGTGCATGATGGAGCTCATTGGCATCAATGTTACCTGATCTATCCTGATCAAATCTGTACAAGAAAATCAACCATATCATACATGTAGTTAGTGTTTAGTTTCATCACACTCTGTACTGTGTTATCACAGATCCAGGGGGGGGGGTGGTCAGTGTTGTAGCCGTCAAGACTAGTCTTGGTCTCGAGACCAGTCTCGAGACCAGTTTGAAGGTGTTTTCGGTCTCGACCACGCATGGTCTAAGAAAAAAACGCTGGTCTTGGTCTCGCACCTCCCTGTTCTCAGAATTTTGGCCCGACACCAGCACGAGACCAATATAGAAATGCACTTGCAGTTGTTGCCTAACGAAATCCAAAACCCACCAGAATAATACCGCCGTTAATGTTCCATGGTTCTGGCGACCGTCTAGCCTTGACCAAGGCTATCAGCTTGTTGCCATACGAGCTTGTTCCCGCTACCGTTTGCTCGTACCCCCCGCCCTGCAAACAGGACGCTGGGATACTCTGATGGAGCTTCACAGAATCTTGTGAAGGAAGTGGCCTGTGACCTATGTATAAAGCACATGGCTGCAGCTGTTTAAGACCGCGTTAGCCAATGCATGCAAATGCTATCCAAAAACTTCCCATAGAAATGCACACGTTTCATACCAGATGTGATTTCTGTTTCATTGCGTACCATGTGGACAAAGCGTCGCGTAATGCAATCCGACCGTTCGTGATTCAAAACGGAGCCTGAGCAAGTGATGGGAATTGTAAATTTACAACACAGATTAAGTTTTTACAGAATTTCCTACAATATTACGCTTTTCAACAAAAAAAAAACATCTGTAAACTGGAATTAAAGAGTAATGAATCAGTCTTAATGGCCGTTTCAAACCTTGCAGAGTCATGACCTTGATGATTACAGAATTTCCTACATTATTACGCTTTTCAACGAAAAAAAAACAAACTGTAAACTGGAATTAAAGAGTAATGAATCAGTCTTAATGGCCGTTTCAAACCTTGCAGAGTCATGACCGTGATGACGCGCAGGTAATAGGTTACGCAAAATCCAACCAATTAGAGCGTGAATTCATCAGAGTATCCCAGTGTCCTGTTTTCAGGGCGGGGGGTACGAGCCAACCGCTACTGTACACCGCGCGCCGCAACACACTAGTTGTACTATACCGTTAGCCTCAACGACCCTTGTGTGTGCTTTGTGTGCATGTACGTGCGCCCCACACACACTTCCGCAAACAGCCGTACAGTAAGTCGAGGCGGAGGATAGCCTTGACGCAACCATGGCGAATTCCTTATGTGTTTCTTTATATTTTCGGCCGAATTCGGTCGAGAATTTCAGATGCGCACATATTACACGATATCCAATCAAAGCCTGTAAACTTTGACCCGCGACATACATATTCATGGGTCCGCAAATTTACACCACGTATATTCACTCAAAAATAAATGTCCAGGTATTTCAATCCCATTTTAAACCATTTTTCCAGTTTTATCCCAAACAAAGAAATATGCCGCTATATGAATGAACACTTGTTCAAAAAATGACCATTTCCAATGTATTGCGAATTGGACAGTTCAAGACAGTTATATCCGCCGATGTTTATTGTCGGTGCAACAGCGTACACGCCGCTACCTGTACCTACCCGTGACATTCTGACAGCGATAGGGAACAGGTCAACTCGTACCCATTTGATCGAATGCAGGTTAACTCGAATTAACTGCAAGAAACGAGCTATTGACTTTGGGATGGAAATATACGAAACTGTCAAATAGGGACATGGTGAAAAAAATCTCTCCCTGAATTCGTACCATGTGCAACATATATCTCATACGTACGACATATGTATTTTAACGACATACGTACGATATGTAAGTCGTAGGTATAACATACATGTATAAATCGTACCTATATGTCGTATGACATACAAGTCATACATACATATGTCGTACGTATGAGATACAAGTCGTTCTCACAAGATATGTCGTACGTACGACATAATCGACAAACAAGTTGAACGTAAGAGTTAAAATTCATATGTTGTACACACGAGATATTTACTCGTACTTATACGACAATGTCGTATGAGACATATATCGTACCCTGTCGACTCGACATATATTGTACGCACGACAAATATGTCGTACCGGCACCTGTCGACATTATGTCATATGTTGATATGTCACACCCTGTGGACATATAACTTATAAGTCGTTCATACAAGTTAAAATCAGTCTTACGGAATAAGTAAGCTAAAGGAGAGATAATTTTTTTCCCATATCCCCTTGACAGCTTAGTAGAAATACCCCCCAAAAGTCAGCGGTAGATTAACTCAATAGTGTGGGCGCTTTTTTTTGCCGCTGACCGAGAGCGCAGCGTGTCTTACCGCATGGCGCGAGCCCGGTCGGTGCCTACAGTGGACGGCCCCAACTTGGTCTCTGTGTGCAGTGATATCGTTTTTGCCGGCGTGCGGTTTATATACCGTTCACCGTTTTTTGAAGGTCTAATCATGGAGAAAGGAATCCTTCCATAGTCTAATTGTTCATCCTTTTCATTTCATCTTCGATCCAAACTATGTATAGCTTTATAAATATTATTCTGCTGTTATTTAAGATTTTAAGGGGGTGTTTTACAATAACTATTGTTATCACTATGCCGTCTGGTTTATAAACCTTTGGTCGCATTATGCAATTTAATAAATATTCATTTCTTTGTCAGCCATTATCCAATGAGAGAAGACTATTTACCATAGCGCATACTAATTATCATATTGAGTATACACGGTTGTGTCAAGGCTATCCTCCGCCTCGACTTACTGTACGGCTGTTTGCGGAAGTGTGTGGGGCGTAGATACATGTGCATAAAGCACTCGCAAGGGTCGTTGAGGCTAACGGTATACTGTGTCGCGGCGCACACGGTAACAAGCTCGTATGGGAACAAGCTGATAGCCTTGGTCAAGGCTAGCGACCATCGTACCGGCTGCACTGATGTACTAATCTGACTACTACGTTTGACTTGGCTACGGCTAGCTTTGGCAGACACCTCGTGCGTTTGCCCATGATTTATTATACGCATAATGGTCACTAGCCGTAGCCACATAATCATTATTGCCACTGGTTACCATCAGTAAAAAGACGTGCATTGAATGCATGGTTTGCAGGGCAACCGGTACCCGTATGCACTGTTGATATACATGTATCTGGAACTTGACTGGCAAGGCACCATTCTAGCATATGTACATACGTTGTATGCTATGTCATGTATGTGGGAAGCATGCGTGCCTGATTCGGTTGCGAGAAAGTTTGCTCTTTTTTACGCACAGTTGGAGTTAATTTGAGTCATGTCTGCCAATTCGGCAATCATACTGTATGCATACAAGGACCATAAAGAGTACATTGATGCCAAAACTGGAGGCAAAAAAACATGTCGCAGTTTGTGTTTTTTGACCGAAAAGAACCAGCATCATAGTGAGGTACCTTAGTGAAAAAATCGTGACACGGTGGACAAAAGCACCATTTTTTCACCAAAGCATCTCCATGGTATACCTTTTCGAAAAAAAGACGGACGCAAAAAATTGGATGATGGGAAGGGCATGTATGACGTCATTATGACGTCATCAGCTAATTATTACATGAAATATATATAAATTGATAATATCTTCTGAACTACAAACATCACAACAACAAAAGTCGCATCAAATGAAAGGGACCAACAAGATCTTTCATTTGAGTGGTATGCCAGGAGCGTTGAATGTAGTAAAGGGTGGTTTTGGGGGCCAAAAAGCACTTTTTTTGTCAAAAAAACCTGATTTTTTGCTAAAATCATGTATTTTTGTTTGGCACCTTGTATGTGTTATTGTGAGATTTTGTTTTTAAGTCAGAGAAAAAGGTTCCAATTCTATGCCAAAAGAAATTTGGCAATTGATTATTATTATTTGTAATTGATTATTAGTATCTTAAATGCTTACACTTGTTCCTTAGATAGGTGGAAAAACTGCAGTTACCGTAAGGAAAGTTATCACCACTTTAGGGTATGGGCCAAAATGGGACTTAAGATTTCTTGTATTACCTTGATAAGGGCCAAAAATAGTTCTGCTTCCCATTACATGGCATTTGAAAACAGGGTTGGTAGGTAAGGATTTTTTGGTTTGTGTACAATCATATATGGAGGCGTCTGCGTGTAGTCAAGGGTGAAAGGGAGAAATTGATTGTTTTGGGTTCTTTTTTTTCTCATTTTTCCCATAAAACAAATTAGGGTAGGGGCTGTCAGAATAGGGTAGGTAGGGAAACCGGAAGCAGAACAGTTTACTATCATTTTTTTTGGCCTAATACCAGCAAATAGATGGTATGCATTACTTTTATCAATGCATGTCCAGTTTGAGGAGACTTTTGAATCAAGACCTCCAACTAATCATGCATAGGCCTACGTTCTTTTTATATATCGAAAGTTAAAAAGCTTAAACTGTTGTGCAATAGCCCAAAAATAAAAGCTTACCACTTTGTATTCATTATGTTCAAATTGACTATCTGATTGTTGAAACCAATGCATTTAGTGGTGAGACTCCTTTTTGCGTCTCAAAGTGCCTGAAAATGTAAAATTGTCGTGGAATTGCCCATAAACAATCAGAATAAGTCAGGAGTAAGCCTAATTCATTTGGGGTCAAATCGGTTAGGATGTGCTGGGGTGAAATGGAGAAATGAGCAGCCCTATCTCCACTGAAGTACTCCATTGCATAGCACAGCGTCTCAACATTATCATCTTCCAATAACATTCTAAGGACCAGTTCTACGAGGAACTCAACACCACCATCAGAGGTATCCTTGTCATAGAACAACTGTACCTCCTTGGCGAATTCAACGCCCGAGTGGGATCTGACCACAACTCCTGGCCCAGCTGCATCGCTCACGTTGGCGTTGGCGAGCTTACTGAGAATGGGCAGAGGCTGCAGAAGCACCTCAGATCCCGTCAATGGCTTCAGTTTCATCTCATCATCACAGGAAGACCCTCACGAAACTGCGTTCTCATCACACGCAGCGCTGACTGTTATACAGACCACTCC